CAGAACCCAGAAAGAACCCCAGCGGATGTGGGCGCGTCACCTGCAATCCCCCAGGGTTGCACCCCGTTGAAGACCCGCGGGGCAGCGAGCCCAAGGCTGGCTGTGGTGGGAGCCCTCCGAGGACTGCTCAGGCCGGCGGTAGTCCTTTTTTTTTTCCCTCCTTTATAACCTTTCCGACTTCCGGTAATGTTCCGTGCTCGAAGGAGCAAGGTCACAATTCGAGAAAGCTGAATCGCGCGCGCCTCGGCATCTCGACATTCCACCCGGGCACATCTTGGCCGCAACAATGGGGTCCAGCGGGCCGGGCGAGGTTATCCCTGTCGGCGACGGATCTGCGGAGGGCCGTGCTGGATCTTGATTTGCGGCCAGGTCCCGGACCCTTGCCCCTGGACCCTTGGCAGAAGCCCATCTCTTTCAGGGTGGGAACCAGACCTCCGTCCCACCCCGGCTCAGCAACGATCCGCACATGTCGAGATGGGATGGGATTCCGGGGCCGGCTGCCGTCATGTCTCGCTGCGCAGGTCGATTTGCCCATCCAAGGCCAGCGGGAGCGGTGTTACGACCCCTGCCCGCCTGCTCTCTCATACCCCTCTCCTCGTTCTTAGCGGAGGCAGTTAAGTCTCACTATCAAGGACCCCTTCATCCACTGACACCTCTGGCACGTTGACACGGCCAATGGAAAGCCGATGGGCCGCCATCCACGTTCCGATGGACCCTTCTCTATCTAAGTTGCTGAGATCGGGTGTCGGATAGGAGATCGTAGGAACCAATGTGGCCGTTCGCTACCCCCTACCCCTGTTCACCTCACGTTGTTCATGGGCCACCGAACAATACCTACCCTGCTACCCAGCCTTGATGATCACCACCCCCACAACCATGGCAGCAAGGTACCGCGGCCCTTCCATGTCCATCAGACTCAGTTCAGCTGCAGACTGCAGCCGCATCCTCACCTTGCCGTCCGGCGCGGCCCCGGTCGGGGTTCCTTGGCTGTCATGGTACTGTGAAGACAACACATGCTCGCCCTTGGCTACCACGTATTTTCTATTTTTTTTTTTCCCGACCCGGCAGATGCACATCATCCCAGGCCCCGTCGAGGTGGACGGCTATATGAAAGTGCTCTGGCCCCGGTTGTCTCTCCATTCGAGTATTTCATGACCTTCCTTACTACTGTTACTCCTTTGTGTTATTATTGTGGCGGTTGGAACGAAACACACACCCACACCGCTTGACTATCCCGTTCATCTCCGCGGATAGTACGTTTCGGCACCTGAAGGCTTCCACCGAAGAGGAACGAACAGGCCGGCCAGTGCTCGTTCTATAACCGGGCAGGAGATCTTTGAAACTGGGCGCTCTTCTAGCTGTAGCTCCCCGGTTGTTTCCCGCCGTCTACACATCCGCCAACCAAGCAACCGAGAAGCAACGCCAGCCGTCCGTCGAAAGGGGAAAACACGATCCACCGTCAACGTCTTCTTACTTCGCCGTCGACACCATGGCAGCAGCCCCGGGAGGCGGAGGCCATCACCCTTTCCAAGGGCAACAGGTACCCCCTCCCCCGAGGCTACCCGCGGCTCTGGCCCACCATCCCCGATATTGACCTCCCATTCTCCCCAGTCCTTCGTAGACGACCAATTCGACCTCTTCGACTGGCACCCCTACTTCCTCTCCTGCGTCCGCTACTTCGTCGACCACGCCCAGTACAACGGCCCCGTCCAGGCCCTCGCCGCCTTCATCAACATCCAATTACCCTTCCAGCGCGCCCAAACCCAACCCACCGTCCCCCTCCGCGGCCCGCCCAACCCCAGCGGCGCAGCCAGCCAATCCCACCACCACCACCAGCAACCAGTCTCACTCCAGCCCTACCTCCGCCGGCTCGTGGCCACGGGGTTTGACATACCCCCCGTGCTGCACGGCTTCTTTGGCGACGACTGGAAGTTGGGCCTGGCTCCGCTGCATGAGCAGGAGCGGCGGAATTTTTTGTTTGCGGCTAAGAGTGCGTCGTGGTTGGAGGTCAAGCGCGCGTATGATATGGGCCCGGACGAGGCGCTGCCGTTTTTGAAACCGTTGCGGAATGTGACCGAGGCGGAGATTGTTAATGCCGAGGCGGGGTGGAGTGAGTGGTTGGCGATGCAGGATTGGTGAGTTCGTTCCCCTGGGTTGGTTGGTTTGTTGGTTTTGGGGGGGACGGGGGGTTATGGTGGTGGTTGGGTTGGGTTGAAGAGGGATGAATATCTTGCTGACTTTCGTTTTCGTGGTGGCAGGATGCTGGGGCCGAGGTCGGTTGAGGAGGTCAGGGGGGGTGAAGGGGGGCCGTCGAGATCGGGATCGGGCGGTGGGGTGAGGATCAAGAGGGAGGAGGAGTAAAAGGGCTACGGATGATGGTCGTGGGAGGCAGGCGTCCGGGCTGGATACCGGCGTGCCTGTGGGATTGGGATTGGGGGTAAGGGTGCGTGACATTGCATGGTTTGGGAGACGGGTCTCGGAGGGGGGTCTTTTCTTTCAGCGTGCTTGTCTTCTATGTATAACTCTGTATCATCTAGGGGGTATTTGATGTTTAGACGGCGCGTGACTGGGGGATGGCGGTTACGGATTTTGACTACGTACTATGTTGGTGTCTTAGTGGTACGGCAGAGCCCCGATGAAGGGATGGGTTTGTGGGAGGGAAGTGGGATGGTGGAGTTTATAGGTAGGTTGCTATGACCATGCTGAGATACCTGCCCACCTCATATAACTAAGGTGAGGCACACAAAGGACGATCCACACATTAATGAAAGAGCATGCATCTCATATATGACGATTCTAGGTGAGGGAGGTAATGGCGGTATGGCCACAACCATTAGTTACATACCCAGGTTCTAGCATGGAATGAGAGAAAAAAAATCCCAACGTGATGTTGTTCACAATCAGCAATGTGCGTGACGCATACCTGGTTTCCCAAGCTCTTTTACCATGTATGGAGGACTTTGTTGCACTTACTTGGGAAGTCCCCGATGCCCATTGTCCGGGGTCGGTTACGGAGGTATTCGCTGTACTGTGTAATTACGCCCGAGCGCTGAGCGCATTCCCCAGCGCCCCACTCCTTGCCAGGGTCACTTCGGGCCCATCTTCCGGCGCGTTGCAGCTTGAGGTCATCACAGCTTCATCCTCCTCTCTTTTCCCATCGCTTTCAACACCAACACCACGAACATGTGACACCCTTAACAATTGCTTAGCTACCATATCCAACCTACAAAATAGTGATACCGAACGACGTCAATGCCCCAACCATGGACGCAGGCACCAAGAAATCAAGCCTGTCGACCTCCATAACAGCATGGTCAACCTTTCTCCAGCGCGTCCTCGTCAAGCGCCTCGATCAGGACCGATTCGCCGACCTTATCCCCATCCACTTCGACAGATTCCCTCTGCCGGCCGTCATTGTCGCCGACGAACTCCTGCGCCCGGCCGAGCGCCAGCGCTACTGCCTCGACCCCCGCATACACCTCTACCTTGACGCCCTACTTAAACAACATCGCGTCGATCCCGCCGCCGTCCTGCGCGCGCTGTTGAAGTACTCATCCGCGCATTCCAAGGTGCAACCGCCGGACGCCGACACGCCAGCCGGGGATGGCGTCGAGAAGGGAAAAGGGGGGGAGGGAGAGGGACAGCAAGTCCGAAAGCTCATCAGGTGGCAAAACTCGTACGATGACGAGGAGAGGATATTCTGGCGTCTGGCCCAGGCGGTACACCACAAGTCTGGAATCAGGACGGTCCGGAATGTGGTGCAGGTGGCCAAGATGTTGGCCAAATGGGCGCGCATGTTCGCCGAGGCCGCGGCCGTCTTCTCCAGGGAGGCCTTTGGCTCAATACACGGCTTGCAGGCGAGAGACGAATTGGCAGACGCGAGGACCGCGTTTGTTCTGTTGCTCATTGCATTCAGCGAGAACCGGCTGGCTCGATTGACGCTGAGCCAGGCGGGCTCTGCAAAGGTAAGCACGCGACCCTGGCCAGCATCGGGGTTGGGGTCTAGAGTTGGGGCTGACGGCGGGCGTAGATCTTTGCAAGGAGCTCTCTGACGCCTTGCAAACTTTCATTCCCTGGCGTGATGCAAGTCCTGCCTGAGATGGCCGGCCGACTGGAGCAATTCCGTACCGAAACGCTCGGCAATTATCTGCCCGCGGAGAAAAAAAGACGTCGAAGTAAACAGTTACGTGGACAATCTCATCGACATGGACAACTTTCAGATACCCGAAATTCCCCTCGTTAACTCGCGAGCCGGCCTCTACATATACCTCAGCGCAGCGGTAAGTAGTTTGTGTCTCCGGTAGAATCTCCTGGTTCCTACTAACAGCCTCCAGCTCGTGGGCCGGCCCATGGTTGACGATAGCGCCTTATTTACATACTTACAAAACAGATATCAGGTAAGGACTCACCGGCGGAGCGGGATGGGCGTATAGAATGGGTTTCTAACATGCTGCAGGGAGACATACAATCTACAGCAGTACAACTTATCTTAGCATCCTTCGACCTCCTGGCAAACGCCGTCTTCCGCAACGAGGGGCCCAAGACTGGCCACTTGCTCAAGTCCTTCGTGGTCAACAAAGTCCCCCTAATCCTCGTCTCGCTGACGAACTCGCCGACTATGTATCCTTTCAACTCGGAGATGTGCATCAAGGAAGCCCTGGCGCAGGTGGACACCAACGTTTTCCCTACCCTATCGGGCATGTTCGAAATGTCCAACACGAATTCCTCCTTTCACGACTCTGTTCGCCAAGACTTTTGTTTTTCCTGCCAGCTCCACGGCCTGCTCTCCCAGACCGCCATCGAGAACCTGCTCGGCGATATTACGTATCAGTCTCTACCGGACGAGGGTCGTTACGTAAAGGATAATCTGGTTCAGGCGTGCCTCCTCGACGTGGACAGGACGCAGAGACTGATCGGAGAGCTGGACAACATGAACGGGAATGTGGGTGCTGCCGCCCAGGCCATCATTGAGGTATGTGGTTTTTGATATCGCTGTTCGATATTGTACTGACTCGGATAGGTCATCGGAAGCCTGTGCCGGGGTAAGGAGACCATGACTCTCAAACAGCTTTGCAGTCAACTTGCAGCCAAACCTTTGGCTTTGGATGTCTTGTTGCTCTTTGACAAGCCACAAAAGATCTTGCATCCATTATGTGATCTGCTCGATAACTGGGGCGGGTACGACGAGGACCAGGGCGAGTACCACCCGGTGTACGAAGAATTCGGGTCCATCCTCATTCTTTTGCTGGCATTTGTCTACCGGTACGATCTTTCGCCCGCCGATCTGGGCATCCGCTCGCCGGACTCCTTCGTAGGGAGGCTATTGGGCGGCGGCAACCGTTGCCGGCCATTGGAGGGCTTAAATGAGCAGGAGAAGGCACACCTGAACGGCTGGGTCCATGGACTTTTCGATACCGACGCCGGCGGTCTCGGGGATGACCTCATGGCTTTGTGTACACCACAGGACTTTTACCTCCTTATGCCTACGTTGTTCCACCAAATCGTCGTTGGTTTGAGCGCGGGGTACCTCACGGACGACGTGCTTAAGGGCGGTCTCGAGTGTAAGTTCTTCTGCCCTGGGGAAAGGAGTCGATACTAACCGTCATAGACTTGGTCGATGTTCTCCTGTTGCCGTCTCTGGTCCCCGCGATACTGTTCCTTTCCAACCAGCTGTGGGTTACCAACCCGCAGATGCAATCGGCCATCATCAAGATACTCCAGATCATCATACGGCCGAGCTCCATGTCCAACGAGGCAGCTACCATGCTCTCGTCGGTGCTCAACATCGTGGCCAAGCCGCTAGAATACGCACTGCGGTCCTACCAGCGGCAAGATCCCAAGTGTCAGGAGGTCGAGCCTCTCCTCCGAGCCATCAAGGAGAACCTCGCGCTATCCCGCCGAACGGGCGGTGCGGGCCACACCGAGCTCGAGTCCTGGTGCACCACACACGCTAGCAACGGCACGATCGGGGCCACCCCGCACAGTGGCCTCTCTACCGCGATTCGACACACAGCCCAGAACCTTCATACAATGGGCCCAACACCCGCCCCTAAACGGCATGCCAGCCACCTACACCCACCGCCAGACCCTCGCAACCGTCAAAATCCTCGGCGCCAAACACCTCCTCGCCATCCTCCTCGACGAGCTCAAAGCCTCCACCGACCTCTCCCAAGCTAGCATCGCCTACGACGTCGCCACCGCCCTCATCTGCGCCCCCGACGTCACCAACGACCCCTCCCTGGCCCCTCCCCCCTCCCAAGCGGCCATCTCCACCACCACCCCGCAAATCACCGGCCCCGACGACCCCGCCGCCCCGCCACCACCACAACGCGACATCTCCCTCCGCGACGCCCTCAAGGCCGAAGCCGACGACTGGAAGAAGATCCGCAAAACCGACCCCGCACTTGCCGAGGTCATTGTCCGCCTTTACCGCCGCGTCGAGGCCCAGATGACCCCGCCCCCGCCATCCGACGCCGAGGCCGCTGCTGCGGCAGCCGCCGCCGCGGCGATGCTGCAGCCGGAGCTGGGCGATGTGGGCGTGTTGGGGGATGCGATTGCTGCGGCGGCGGCCGTGGCCGGGGATCATCACCATCATCATCATGGGCTGCATGGGCATCACGAGGGGATGATGATGGATGCGGGGGGGTTGGAGGCCGAGTTGGGTGGGCTTGGGGGAGGAGGGGGAGGGGATGGAGTTGCGGGGGGGTCGGGGTTGGATGCGGATGGGCTGTTTGGCGGGTTGAGTACGGGGAGTGAGTTTGGCGCGGACTTTGCGTCGTGGGATATGGATTTGTCTTGAGGAGGTGGAGCGGCGGGTGAGGTTGATAAGAGGGTGGAATGGTGAATATTTCGGAGTTACATATCGAGCGATTGGGGTTCAGGTTCAGCGCTATTGTTTTGTTTTTTTGTATTCTGTATTCTGTGTGTATAAAGATGAGCTTTTAGCGTCACCACACCACGTGTTGGTGATGTCGCCCAGAAACGTGGTGGGGGTGGGTATGAGTTACCTCGCTACTGTGTACAGAATCAGCCCGCAGGTCTCAGTTTCACGGAATCTCTTGGCTGGCTATGATTTCTGCAGCACACCACGTGTATGGGAATATCCGGACGAGCGTCACAAAGTTATTAACTACACTACCTGAGGATCTTGTGTCCCACAGCAGCGACGAATACAGGTCCACTTCCCTCTCGGCTATCTTTTCCTCTCTCGCATCCAACACGGCTCGCCCGGCTCGAATCTTAAACCCGATCACTTACCTAATCTCGCGCTACTCTCCATTTTCAGCCTCCCGCCGGTGCAACGTCGAGATTCAGCCAAGTGGGTGTGACGGGCGCTTGTTTGGTGCCAAGGCGCCATCCGTCCCGAACTGGGTGCCATTGGCGTCCGCGTTGGGTTTGGCGCTTCAATAATGCACGCAGCTTCAAAGTCCCCCCAGACACGAACCCCCGGTCGTTGCTTACGGCTGATCGGCGGTGGTTTGCTTGCGGGGGCGGGTTGCACGGCGGGTTTTGGGAGATGGGGGTGATGGAATTTGCAGATATTCAGGAGAGATATGGCTGACGAGGTCATATTCAGGGGGTGTTCGTGAAGGAGAGTCAGAAAGAGTGTGACGAAAACACCAGGATTGACAACAAACTTTTGCTCTCTTTACTCTTGAGCTGTCACTGCCACGCTGCTGCTCGTGACCCCGCGCCACCGACTTTCCTAGCCTCGGTCCCCAGCAAGCCACCATCCGCCAATAACACCGGTTTGTCCCATGAGAAGACTGGGCCCAATGTTCAGCTGGGTGCCGAGTCTGGAACCACAGAGCCTCATGCCGCCAGCGCTCAAAACCGTGACGCGGCCGTTGCTCTCCGCCCGGTCCCTGGCTCCCCCGTGAATTATTATGGTCGAAGTATTCTGGTGGACCTTGGCCGTGATCTCCCCCAGTCCTCTTTCGTGTTGTTGAGTTGGTCTGCTACTGCCAACACCCTCGTTGCTCGAATAGCATCATCCCCTCGGCATGAAGAAGGCCGTCAGTTGCGCGGCCTTGAGCTGTGCTTTCGGTCTGGCCCACGCCAAAGCGCTGAAATGGAGTGAAGATGGCCCGAGATGGGCTCCCCCTCAGGAGACGCGTGCTATCCACATGCTCGCGCTGACCATGGATCCGCCAATCCCAACACCTGCGCCAATGCCGTCGAAGGTGAGGGCCGTTCTGCAGGCCCGTGATTCGACGGACAATACCTGCGGTTATGTGAGCGGCATTCCCAGTAAGCTGGTCTCTTAGTCTATGTCTGCGCACACTTCGACTAACACGGCATAGCATCGTCCCTGTGGTGCGCCGAGACGGCTCAGTGCGTCTACAACTCGTTGAACTCGCATATCGGCTGCTGCGATGACACGACGACCAACTGCCCCGTCTGGACAACATGCTACGACTCGACGGACCGTGAGAGCTTCACCACCGACAACGGCCTCACTCTGTGGTGGTATGTGTAGCCCCAGACCCAAGCCGCATAGACAGGCGCTATTAACACACACCCCTCACAGCGGAAGCTCCTCCTTCCCGCACTGCTACACACATATCTACCAAGACTCGAACATCATCAAGGGCTACAGCCTTCTCGGCTGCGCGGTAGCCGCCGGCACAGGCCAGGTGTGGTACTCGTCGACGCCGACGAGATCGAGCACAACCTCAATCAGCGACCTGACCAGCACTACCTCAGACGAACCCACCTCCACCACGACCATCAGCAGCAGCGCCACCACCACCGCCCTCCCACTCCTCGCCGAGTCCTCCACCAACATCGGCGCCATCGTAGGCGGCGTAGTCGGCGGCGTCGCCGCCCTCGGCCTCATCGGTCTCGGCGTCTGGCTGCTGATGCGCATGAACAACAAGCAAAAGAAGAAAGATGCCGCCACCGCCGCCGCCGCCGCTGCAGCCGGCACGCAACACCACCAGCAACAACCCCCACCGCACCCCAACAACGGCGGCGACCCGCACATGTCCCAGCTCCCTCCACACCAGCAACACCACCAACAACAACCCCCCTACTACGGCGCCGCCGCGGCCAACACCACCAACCCAGGCTACGGCAAGCTCCACCACTCGGTCGCGTACAGCACCACCACGGCCGGCGGCTACGACCAGTCCACCATCGTCGGCTCCTCGCCGCCCGGCTCCCCGCCGCTGTCGGGGCCGTACCAGAATATCCAGGGCACGCCGTCGCCGCCGCCGCAGCAGCAGCAGCATCAGCCGCAACAGCAGTTTGGGCAGTTCGCTGGGTTTGGCGAGCAGCAGGGGCAGCAGGGGTATGGGCAGCAGGGGCAGCAAGGGTATGAGCAGCAGCAGTATGGCGGTGGGTCGCCGGGGGCGGTGTCGCCCGGCACGCAGGTCGGGTATGGGCAGCCGCAGGGGCAGGGGCAGCAGGGTGGGCATGGGTATGTGGCGGAGTTGCCGGCGCAGAGGGGGGATGGGGAGTTGAGGGAGTTGGGCGGTTAGTGGTTGGTGGGGAGGGGGAGGGGAGGGTGATGGGATGGGGTGGGGGTGGAATGGGGTGGGGTGGAATGGGGATGTGGGTTGTGCTGGTTGCATGTTGAGGATAGGAGAACTAGGGAGGGGAGGTTTATATATGATGGTATGATCTGGTAGGGCATGGTTTAAAGCGGTCTCTTGTGTGTATACTTGGATCTCGGTCAGGGCTTCTGCAACATGCATCATGGTAATAGATGAATTTTTGCACAGGAACATACCCCTGCCCGTCTCACACATTTAGCATGAGGTGTCCGAACGAACTGTAGGCTCCGTGGGCTAATCGACTTGATATAACCGAACCCATCCCAGACTCAGAGCCTGCTTCTCCTCCACTTGGCGTATGGATGCTCCTCACTCAGGCTGTCCGGCACAAGATGGTCGATGGCCCTCGTATTCAGCAATCCTGGGTGCAGCTGGTGCAGGCTGGTCACACCGCACATCTTCATAGTCGTCACCAGTTCGTCGTCGAGTACTATCTCGTCAGTCTCGGTCGGGGAACGGGATACTTAGACTACACATCACTTACTCTCCAACACCCTCGTGACACCCTCCTTGCCATATCCCAACCCTAAATCACCATCATGTCAGCCTCAGCTTCCGTACGAAACACCACCTCTGCAACTCCAACAACACCAGCACCACCGCCGGCGCGGTATCCAGACTCCGGCCCCCATGATTCGACAGCAGTATCCCATCCGCCCCGGCCTCCACCGCGCGCACCGCGTCGGCTGCCGTCTGGATGCCCTTGATTACGAGCGGCGTGTGGGGGGGCAGGTGGCGCCGCAGCCAGGGGATGGTGGTGGCCCAGGTGAGGGCGGGCGAGATGTAGGAGGCCATGAGTCGGCCGAGGGCAGAGCCGTGCGCGTCGGTGGTGGGGGTGACTTGCGTGGCCATGGGGGTGGTGGTTTCGGGTGATGGGGGTGGTGATGGGGGGTTGGTGGTGGTGGTGTTGGTGGTGGTGGTGGTGGTGGTGGGGGGTGCAGGGGCGGAGGGCACGCGCTCGTCGGCTTCGCGCTTGCCGGGAACGGGGGCGTCGACGGTGAGGAAGACGCCTTTGATCTTGGGCCCGTTGTTGGTGTCGCTGGGCGAGGTGAGGGAGTGCAGCAGGGCTTCGGTGTTGGGGGCGTGCTTGTCGACGTAGAGCTGGAGGAAGACGGGGATGCTGTCCGCGTCTGGCCCGGACGGGGACGGGTGGTCGAGCGCGGCCTGCACCACGTCCGCTACGGAGAAGCTCGCGCTCGTGCTGATGATCTGGGCGACGCCGCCGAGTTCTCGGCAGGCCCGCGCTATCTCGCGCTCGCCCTCCGGGTGGACGGTCTTGCCGAGGGAGGTGGGCGAGACAAAGATCGGGGAGGATACGCGTTGGCCGAGAATTGCGGTTGTCAACGATACCGGCGCGGAGACGTCAATGAGCACACGCGGGCGGAGGGTGATCTCGGAATAGGTGGTACTGTTGCGGCGGTGGGTGTGGCAGTCCGTGGCGGCTGACGAGACGAAGGCGAGGGTCTTGGGCGGGAGGAAAATGTGGGCGGCCAGACGGAAGTCGTCAACCGAGATTAGGCTAGATAAAGGGGGCTTGCGGGTTACAGATGGCTGGGAGGTGGGCGGACGAGGAGGCGGGGGAGGCGAGGAGAGCCGGCCGAGGTGTTTAGATACCGGGAGCATGGACTTGAGCAGAGAAGGGGAATGGACGGCCAGGTATGCCTCTGTCCCATCTTTTCCTGCCTTCTCAAGAAGAACAGACAGACCGCCGGGATGGGTCGGGGCAAACTCGGTAAAGTCATACACCACGCCGTGGATGGCGATCCACAGGGAGCCGAGCGTGTTGTGGCCGGCGAGTTCGGAGGGTGATATTATTGGTGACATCGTAAGATATGGCTGCAAGGGCGATTGGAAAGCAAAAGGAATCATGCAACCAACCTTTGCCCCTGTTGGCCCTTCTCTTTTATCAATCCCGGCGCCCGAGTCTCCGGCCGGGGCACCGGAGCCGAGAGTGGGGCGGTTCGGGGTGGATTGCACCGAGAAGTGGAGCCGCATCCCGCCCATTGATTCCGGCGCTTCAATCTAGCGTCGGCTTGGAGGGCCGGAACAAAGCATGACAGACAATAACCGGTCGAGTGTCACAGATCAATATTACCCGATGGCACCAGATCACGCTGAAACCGCTCTGGGAGTCAGTTACGGTCACCTCCAAGAAAGAAGTGCAGCTGTACCGCAACAACGCTGCACGCCTACCGAGAGGACGACTCCAGTTTACCGAGGAACTCTGTCTTGACGCTGAGTTTTATTGCTATGCCATCAAAGGCCGATGTCCCCATGGAATACATCACTGGAATTGGATTGACCAGGACGCCCCTGGGGATCGAACGCGACCCTTCGACCGCCTTGCCCTGGCGGCCGAGTCGGTCCTCGAACAGTTCCGGGACAGCCCGTTGAAAAGCTTTAGGTGCTTTCGCCCCCGGCATTGCCAGTCTCAACCTCGAACCATGCACTGACTTCACGTAACGTAGCTGGGGCTTGGGCGCCTGTGTTCCCCCCAGCATTCTTGGGCCGCGCGGGCTCGTCACGCGGAGGTATCCCTCGTTGCAATCCCTGAGCTTGATAACTCAAACCCATTGCACCCATGGACTGAACGCGGGCTGGTGTAGTGTGGACTTGTCGGCATTCTCTTCGCTCCAGAGTCTATGCTGGATAGCCCCCGATGTTTCTGCCTTCGCTAGCTTGTCCAGCGCTATCCGGAGAAACTCGGAACGGCTGCGGCGCCTCGAATTGGACGTTGTCCGCTAGGAAACTCTTTGGAACTTGCGTAGGAATGAGGGGGTGGAGTTGGAAGTTTGGTGTGCCAAATTCTTTGGCCTGACAACCCAACAACCATCACGGCTTATCTTCCCGGTCATTCGCGAGCTGTCCCTTACCGACGTGCCCCTCGTGGCGGCCATGGCACACGCCGTCAACTTTGGCACTCTCAGATCCCTCACACTGCTGAGATGTCGGGGCTGGTATGTTTTTCTGGTCTGGGCCATTGAGCTCAAACTTCCGATACGGCTCAAGACATTCGGGATTCACATTATCGATGATGCACCCTATGGTTCGAACCGCATCATCATTGAAGCTTTTCTGAGCAGTTTCAAAGGACTCGAAGATCTATTTATTGACGAACCGGAGAGACAGGGACTCCTCTTATTCTGGGACGATGTCGCCTGTCACCAGCCAGCTCTCAAGAAGTTTGTACACCAGCAGCGGACGTGGCCGTCCGACAGGTCTGCATTCAGCTCAGCACGGGTTGTGCCTAGGCCTCCCCTCCTTAATCTCGAGATGCTTCAGTTACAACGTGGACCTTTTGCAACCCAACTCCGCGATCTCGATCTCGAGTTCGTGGGCCTGCCGTGCCGCCCGATGCTGCTGGTAAGGAGTCCAGCTCGATACCCACTTGCCCGGTGCCACAGCAAGCTAACGATAATACCTGTTTGGCAGGTGCCTGTCCTCTCCCTTTACACGCGCAAGACTTCGCTCAAGGTTCTCCACATCCCAGCCAGCTCCGGTGCGTTCTGGGGCTCAACCCTGCTGGGCCCTGCATGACCGATTCGTGGACCGCCACCCGGGCCTTGAACTTCGAAGCACCCCCAGTGAGATAAACAACATCATCTCAGGATGCCGTGACGAGATAGCCGCAGCCAGCCTGTTCCGGTCAGGGCTACGGTCCGAATTCCGCGACTTTGCCGAGTGGGTGTTCGGCCCGCACAGGATTGACTCGCTCCGGTTCCTAGTGTTCGGGGACTATAGCTTTGGCGGCCGCAAGTGCGATAACAGACTCATTCTCTGCCGAGGCCCCATGCCGGTAAAGAAGAGCAACTTCCGGATCCTCGCCCGAAGCGGCACGGACGTACATCATCTCGACAAGTACCGCGACGCGCTGCGGGCGTGCCCCACACATGCATTTTTTGATGGTGTCTTTGGGTTATAACGACAATATTGTCTATAGGGTTGTGGCCTTTTTTGAGAGTCCTAGTTGACCGGAGCGAGGGGTTGTTTTGGAATCATAGCTATAGGACTGCGTTTGAAGCGAGCAATAGTCGTCAAAATGTTCTCCGTTGATGTCTCGCCGTGTAAAAGTGACGAGTGACGGTTGCCGATGAGAATGCAAGGGCATCCTCCATTCCAACACACAGGAAAGTAAGGAACGGATTTGAAACAAACCCTCCATTTAACACGACCTCAACCCCAAACCAAAGTTCAACGGTGACCCACTCAAACCCCCCCTCAACTCTCCCCCTCCCCCTCCCCAACCAACGCCTTCCCCACCAACACCCTCGCCCTCTCCCCCAACTCCATCCCCAACGCCAGCTCCTTCCCCCTCTCACTCATCTTCCCCCACGTCTTCCGCAAAATCCCCACCAGCTTCGCCTCCTCCACCCCGCTCTCGCGCTCAAACCCCTCCAGCTGCCCGTCCAGGAACACCAGGCAGGCCACGTCCTCCAGGACCTGCGTCTCCTCGTTGGCGTTGGCGTTGGCGCCGCCGGAGAGGCCGTCTTTGCGGACGAGGGCGGCGATGCGGTCGATGCTGGATTCCGGGAGGGGCGGGTGGATGGTGGGGGAGGTGGTGAGGAGCGTGGTGAGTTGCGCGGCGGCTTGGGACTTTTGTTTCGCCCGCCAGGTGAGGTAGCCGGGCCGCGTGGGCGGGTAGGAGGTGCGCGGGAGTTCCCAGCTGGAGGGAGGAGGAGGGAGGTTAGAATATGTGATGATTTTTGGGTGGAGGGGTGAGGAAGAGGGGAGGGTAAGAGGAGGGGAAGGAAAGGTGGGTTAATGGTTAAGGGGGGGTCGCATACCGGCGGAAGTGCTGGGCGCGGCAGGCGAGTTGCAAGGCGGGTGAGGCATTGGGTTCCCGCACGGCGAGCCAACGCGTCATTTTGCGGGCGTAGTCGAGCTCGAAGGGGATGGGGGTGTCGTCGTCGGGGTTGGCGCTGGGGACGGTGCGCGGGTCTGTGGCGTGCGCTTCGTCAATCAGTTGTAGGGCTGTGGCGTAGTTTGGTTCGAGGGGTGGTAGGGAGGCCATGGTAGTGAGTTTGTAGGGTGGTTTGTGGTGAGTTGGTGGTGAGTGGTGGGTGAGTAAGTGAGTGAGTGAGGTTGATAGTGATAAATGATAGGCCGGTGTCGGTTGAGATAAGGAGGCGGCCAGCAGAACTACCCCCATATGCTGAGTCAGCAGCCATCATGATAACGAGCTTCAGTTCAGGGCAGCCGCAGGCTTTGAACTGTCTTCGCTTCAAGAGATGCCAAGCTCAAGCCTTTTCTGGTAGTTAGTGGATTATGCTGTTCTCTCTCTCAAGTACTTGTGATATCTTCGGTTGTTTCCTGATACGAGCCACAACAGCAAGCTACCCGCCATGTCGGAGGCCAGTTTCGGGTCAAGGGAGCACCTCATAGAGTATGTCTTGAGAGCCCTGTTTCCCTTTTTTTTATTTTGTTCCTTTTTTTTTTTCGAATCTTGGAGATGGCTTGAAGATGACTACAGTTTCAGCCTCGAGATTAATCAATCCTTCCCTTGTGCTTTCCAGGATGAAACGAACCATTCGACCAAGCCACTCTTGCCTCCTCCCATTTGGCCCTTCGGTTTATCCTCTTCATCGACTCCGAATAGAATGCGAGTGATCATCTGCTAGCCGTAAACCAAGAATCCGTTCCGCAGGAAATATCACCAAACATATCATTTCAAAACATGTGCCACGAAATCATTTGGGAACTCCCCTGCGGCCACCGCCGTATCCTGCGCACCAACTGCGACGACTACTCCTCCGAGCCAACCCCTCCGGGCTCATCCTCCTCTTGCCGTATGTTGCCTAAAACCTACGGCGACCTTGACAATAAAGGCGCCTTCTGTATCGAACCCAAGTGTCAGTACCAGAGACGAGGCTGGTGCTGCTGCAGCTGCCTGAACCGGAACCTCGGACACCCAGAGGTCGTCTGCCGGAATTCCCCGTCCCCTGCCCCGGCCGGCAGCCCACCTCCCGGCCCTTCTCCGGAGCTCGCATGTGGCCATCGTCGGTGCGCCGGGTGCATGAGCGACCGTGTGTAGTAAGTTTCCCCTGTATCGCCGATGGGCCTCCACGACTTGTATTCAAGTTTGACTTACACGGGTTTGCCTGGTGGGTTCTAGTCATCGGGTTGCGCGCAAAATTGAAGAGATGATCGCAGCGCATGAAATCGACTACAATGGAAACCTAATTGAGAACAAGGATGATGGCCAGGCAGGTAGTGAAGAGGGCGGGTCAGACGACGACAATGAAGGCGCGAATGAGGATTAAGGATGATTAGCTCAGGAAGACAGTAAAGAGGGCGAGACAAACGACGACCAGTGAAGACGCAACTGAGGATTAAGGATGATGGTCAGGAAGGCGGCAAGGAGGGTAAGACAAATAACAAAAAGAAGAAGGGGGGGGGGGCAGAGAAAAAAGGGGAACGGTCAAGAAAGCGAAGGGCAAGACGGTGAAGGGCAAAAAATGCAGCAAAAAAGAGGTGAGCAAAGGGAAGAAAAGAGACGACAGGGGGGGAGAGTCAACCGTCAAGACAGAAACGGCATATTAAAAAACGATGACAGAGGGGTGAAGAAGTAGCAGTTGAGAATTCGCCGGGGCTAAGTAGCCAGGCAAGGCATTGGGAGCACAATAGAACAAGTAGCAAAATGGAGAGTATGCGTTAGGCAGGAACTGGACCAATGTTTTCCAAACCCGCTTTATGAATCATAACTGTGTCTGCTGTGCCTTACTAGCCGAGGAAGAGGTATACCTACTACGTAGGCACATTCTGGACACAGATACAAGGCCAAACACGTTATGGTTTCTCTCCCGGCAGGCACGGAACCAGGGTTACATTGGCGTTCACGGCACCTCAATATTCCAGACCGTAAATAAGCTCAGAGCTGTCTCACAATATTCACCACACTGTATGATGCTGCTTTGTCCCGTCTAGCCTTGACCCCCTACCCGGATGTCTGCGACATACATCCAATACTATGCGCCGTATAGCTGAGGTGACACAAGACAAGCTCGGTGACTCGGAAAGATACAGAAACCTGTATAATTGTTTTCAATACACATAAAACCTGTCTCTTGGCGGCTCTTTTCGGACCTTTCTGCATCAGGAGCACAGCAAGGGGCTCTTGATTTCATCATACACAAATTATTTCCGTCAAATAGTACGTTGCCCTGGCGGTAAACACTTCTCACAGACGACACAAACATGCGTTCCAGGACTCTTAAGAAAAGCACGCAAAACGACATGTCATCCAGGGGTTGGGCATGTTGCAAGTGTTTATACTTGAACTCTGGCGGCCGCCACGTTTGCCAAGGGGTCCTCCCTCTTGGGGACGTCTATGACGAACCTTGCAACCATTGGCACTGTCCTAGCTGCCGAGGATCAGGCAACGGTGCGTTCTTAATTGGGCCCTACATAGCCTCACCATCCAGATGGCAGCATCACTGACCCCTCTATCAGCCCATCCCAGCCATACCGAAGACTTGCGTCACACGGCTACAAACCGCCTCCCCTTCGCCAGCCCCTACCGCCCCTCTGGCCCCCCAGAACCACCCCCACAGTTCGAACTACACTCCCACTCCCCCTCTCATTCTCACTCCTCCCACTCCCATCCACATACACACTCGCACCCACCACTTTCACACACCCACTCCAACCCTCGATACCAACCCCAACTCCACTCCAACCCTCGACCCCCCTTCCCAACCACACTCCCACTCCCATCGCCACCCCAACTCATCTCCCAACGCAAACACACGCCCACCACCCGCCCACCGCCAAAACCAACACCAGGAAAGCCAACAACACCAACAGCAGCATCTACCAATCCCCTTCTCCCACACGGCAGCCTACCTTCCAGTCGGCGCCCGCCCCTCCATCATCACCTGTTGCCGAAGCCTTTCCCCGCCCCCGTCTTCCCTGCCTTGCGATGAAACGCGGGGGTTGGCTC